CACACACACACACACACACACACACACAACCTCCTGATGAGTCGGTAAAAGTCCAACGAAACAGTGTGGCACAGTCATGCTTTTCTTTGTGGAGTTGTGTATAGCAAATATGAGGACACACACACACACACACACACACACACACACAACCTCCTGATGAGTCGGTGAAAGTCCGACGAAACAGTGTGGCACAGTCATGCTTTTCTTTGTGGAGTTGTGTATAGCAAATATGAGGATGCAAACACACACACACACACACACACACACACACACACACACACACACACACACACAAGCACAGCCACCTGCAAAAACGGGCCAGCGTATTTTTGTGCTGGCCCGCATTGGACTTCCAGACGGATGCCCATCCGTGTTATCTGCCTGGACACGGGCGACCCGAAGGTGCCCAGACATCCGGGTCAATATCCAAGTTAAAAATATAAAAATTAAAGGAATACAAACCAAGGCTGGGTTCAGCTCGTCCAGTGCAACTCGGGCCGGACCGAGGGGGGTGAACCGGAGAACCAGTTTTTAAAGAAAAAATGCCCTTTTTTGCCCTTTTCTTTTTTCTTTTTCCTGTGGATTTCGACTGCGCTCTTCGAGAGCTGTCCATATCTGCAAGAAAACTTTGACGGCGCGATTTTCTTTTGGGGCGCCATAACTTTGAACCACCTCATTAAACTTTGAAGGCGCGATTTTCTTTTGGTGGGAGGGAAGTATTAATGGGGTGGGTTCAAACTTCAAAGATATGGCTTTCAAGTGTAGGGCTCAAGTACAAAGTTACAAACGCTTACTTTTCTGACCCACACATGGCCAAAAGTATTCAATTCCGTACCATAGGGAGCCGTGGACAATATCATGAGATATCAACAGGAAACCGTGGAGGCTGAACGAGATATGGCATATGCTGATGGAAGGTCCTTCCTGGGCAAAATTTATAGCTCGTGGACAGAATCGCGCTGCAGGTGTCACCTCATGCAGGCAGAGTGTTTGTTGTTTATTTTTTTCAATGCACATTGCACAGTGGTTCATAAGTCCGAAATTATCTTGCCGGGCAGTCTGTCCAGATACATGTAGTGGAGCGAGGTCCATTCTTGGGCTTGCACCTCGGACAGCATTCCGACTCTGACTGCACGAAACCCAAACCCATGACTTTTTTCCCAGATTACAGGGACGTGGAAGAAATATATAATCTCAGCAAGCCACTCCTGGAAGGTATGGGTTTCGTCCTCCTGGCCCAGAGTGGACGAGCATAAGGACCTGTTAATAACATCTGGTCGGTGGTCGGTTCGACCACATGTTGCCAAAATGAAAAACCGGGGCCTATTGGACCCCGCATTATTAAAAAAATGTGTGATGGTTCTCCGCCGCTGATCTGCAAAAATCAGTGGTGGAGATCCTCCACCCGTGTTTTTAAAAAAGTGGGGCCAAAAAGCAAAAGGCCTCAATTTTTTTTTTAAGGGAGGCAGCAGCCTCCCACGGTCTGGGCAATCGCGGGATGCCCATGACTCCCCAATACCACCCCCCCAGCGTGCTGCGCTGGGTTTGCCCGAGGGCCTACCGGGCCGGTCAACCACCCGGTCGGGGGAGGGGCCTCTGGTCCAACGAGGGACCAGCCCTGATACAAACACCTCGAAAGGTGAAATATATTATATATATAATAAAACAGATGTTAAGATCCTGGTCATGTCCCAGTGCAATACCCACAAAAAGAGACAATGCCATTCAATTGCAACTCGAATCAAAGAGATTGAAAAGGAGAATAAGACAAGGATGGAGGAAGAACGAAGAGGAGGAGGAGGAGAAGAAGAAGAAGAAGAAGAAGAAGAAGAAGAAGAAGAAGAAGAAGAAGAACATAAGCTGGAACCAATGTCACCTCCCCCCCACCCCCATCTCCCCTCATCATCCCCACAATCATCTTTTTAAAGTTTTTATAAATAATAACAACAACAATGATTGTAAGCTGCCACTTCTCGTGCAGGCGCAGTTCTTTAAGGCCAGTGAGTGTCGACACCGTTGGCCGAAGCATGGGAGGGGCTGAGACAGACCCTGATCACAGAATACCACTCGGATTGGCGCAGGGCTGGAAAGCACATCCAAGGAGACCCCACCAAAAAAACAAGACATCGTCGACAAGTTCATAAAGGAGGTGCTGGGCAGCGGCAAACTGGGGACCATAATGGGCAACACCCTCAGAGACTTGCATGGGGAGCCCAGCACGACCTCATCACAACAGCCTCTTCAACGTCTACCGAAGCGAGACAGGTTCTTCTTGCTCTGGCCTGAAGACTATTTGGAACAGAGGACGGAGGGTTTAAAGTTTAAACTGCTAATACACGGCCCCAGCCTTGCAGGAAGTTTTTTGTCGCCACAAGCAAAACTCGGAGGCGCCGCATGGCCAGCCCGCCGTTGAAAAAAAATTGGCGGCCTCCGAAGTGGTGCGGGTTTCATGCTGACATACTGGTTCTTTAACAGAGCAGGAGGATGCAAGGGTGGCGGAAGATTTAGGGGTCAACGCAGCAGGGCAAGGTTATATATCTATATATATATCCATATATATATATCGTCATATATATATATATATATATATATATATATATATATATATATAGAGAGAGAGAGAGAGAGAGAGAGAGAGAGAGAGAGAGAGAGATGTGTTTGAATCATACTTGCGCCGCATCTCATGCGCAGGGGTGCCACACGCGCATGCACGCACACACAAGTGATGCGGCGCATTAAAAAAGTAGAGAAATAAAAACGTCCTAGTTGTGTCCAGCCTCTTTTCAGAAGGATCCCTACAGCATATTAGATAGGACCCGACGTCATGAAGAGAGACACTTCAAACTTGTACTCTGTGAGGGTGGGCAGAGAATATATAGTCTGGATTTGAGGTCACTATTTCTCTGTTTTTTCGCTTTTCTTTTCTTTTCTCGTTTTCCTTTTCTTAGGAATACGTGCAGTGGCCCTAAGGGCCTCTACTCACCAAATGCACAAAAGGCAAAACATATGGTGGCGTATTATTCCACGT